GCCAAAAAGGAAATTTTTATTGGAATGACATCGAATTTAATAAAACTTGAGAGTATTCTTTTCTAGTAAAAGTGTATACTTACTTGCATAAAACTTTGACAAACTTCTCGGCCCATATTAAAAATGTAAGGAAAAAACTTTTGATGGGTTAAATTATTCTACTAATCATTCTCAAAATACAACAGAGACAGGAGATGAAACTTAAAATTCGACAGAGATGAGTTTACAAAACCGTTTGCTTCTTTACTTCACGAAAAATTTCAAATATTTAAAATGAAGACGATCTGTCATCTGTGTAATAAAAAAAGGTGCATTACATTTATGGTTTCAATTGTATAATGGACAGAGACTTACTCTGTGCACTGATTCTTGTCTCTGAAAATACATTTCTTACTTTTGTAAAAATTTTCCAAAACTCAATTTTTAATGCCAACTCTCATGTAAATTTTTCTCACCATAAAGTTTTTACAGGAACCATTATTATCACCGGCGTGCAAAACACCATCGGGATCATTACGTAGTGTTATAAATCCTACGTGTCCAAAACACGGCCATGCAGCAGCTTTAGCTCAAACAGCTGGAAAAATGGGTCCTCAAAGTGGTTCACTGACAGCTGCCCATGGACTTGAAGAAATCCAAGTCTAAGCCTGGAATCTGCTATTTGTACAGTATCCCCAGCTATAATGTTTTTTTTTCCTCGTCCACACTGCTAAATGATATAATTTGTCGAATAATTTATTAGTACTATGGCAAATGATACTTCTAACGACTGTGCATGAGTTTTTCTTACTAACTTGGCAGAGTTAAGTCAACCAAAAAATATATAAGCAAATCTCACGTCCTAATAAGTGGTAGCAAATGTGCTATAAATATGTATAATTCATCCTTTACATCCATCCAAACAACACTTTCTAAAACATTTGTCAGATCATTTATTTCAGTAAAATTTGTTGAAAAAATAGTTAAAATTATGACTAACACAATAGGGAATGATTTTTTTTTCAATTTTCAGTACTTTTAATTACTTAGCTTTAAGCAAAGATAAATAATCACTAATTAAAAAGAGCATATTCTGATTAACTAAGCTGCAGAAACATTTAATTCTATTACAACTATCAAGTAAATATAAATATTAATTAAATAAAGTAGTTTTAAGAATATAATATAAATAAATAACAGTAATTATCACTAATTATACGCGGACATTAATACAACTAGCACCCAAAACCCGTCATGAAAACAGATTTTTAGTACATGAAAAGTCGTTGCTATTCATCATTGTCTAAACTGCCTCACCTCAATCTTGTAAAATAAAATGT